TAGCGTTTACCACTTACAAACCTCACACTAAAGTCTTCTTTTTTCCCCTCTGTCCCTCACATGATCATATATTTGGTTTTGTCTTCATTTAGTTCCAATCCGAATTTCTGTGCTTTTTCAATTATGTTCTTCACAATTTTTCTTAATTCTTTCTCGATTTTTGCTAGGATCGTTAGATCGTCAGCAAATGCCAAGCACTAGTACTCATTTTCATGATCGCTTCTTCCACCTTCATGCTGCATTTTCTAATTACAGTTTCTAACACTAAGTTGAATAATGTAGTGAATAAAGGATCTGCCAGTCTCAAGCCTTTTGCAACCGTAAATGGATCTGATATGTGACCCTGTCAAGCAATTTCATACGTAAAGTTATTTAGTGTCATTTTAACTAGCCGGATGAGTTTCTTTGGTATACCCAAATGTTCCATTGCTCGATAAATTGTGATTCTATCGACTCTATCATGTGTTTGTTTAAAATCCACAAACAAAACATGCAGGGGAACTTTACCTTCATAACAAGTCGTTTGTATCTCCTTTAATGAGAAGATTTGGTCTACAGTAGATCTGTCCTTTCTAAAGCCGGCCTGAGACTCATGTAGGATTCTTTCCGTATAGCAATTTAGTTTATTTCTCAATATTGTTGCCAAGATTTTGTATACCGTGTCTAGTAATTCAATTAGTCTATAGTATAAAGTATATACTTGTCACACTTCAATTTGTCTCCTTTTTTATGCAGAGGGTATATGCGGGACTCATACCACTCCGGTGGCATTATTTCCTTTTCCCATACTTACACTGGTAGCTGATATATTTTTCTTTTTAGTTGTTCTTCACCAAACTTGATCATTTCTGTGTATATGTCGTTTTTACCAGTACTTATGTTATTTTTTATTTCTTATATTGTTGTCACCACCTCCTCCTCTGTAGGCTGCCTTTCAACTATCGTATCTTCTCCAACCGTCCAGTTGTCTACTATTTCGTGCTCCACCTCTTCTTTGTCAACCATTTTCCATCCACTCCTGAATGTAGGTCTCTCGCAATTGCTTCCATCTTTCTCTATCTTGCGCCAATCTAATCCACTGTTTGTCTGTCACTACTCTTATGTCATCTACCCATCTTTTTTGAGGTCTTTCCATGCTTCTTGTTGTCGTCCTTGGTCTCCATTTTAGAATTCTCCGTGTCCACCTGTTGTCATTAAATCGGGCTACGTGACCTGCCCAGCGCCATTTCATTTTTGTAATTTCTTCCACAATATCCCCAATCTTCGTTCTACGTCTTATCTCGGTGTTTCTAATCTTGTCTCTTAGTGATATTCCAAGCATGATTCGTTCCATTGCTCTTTGCGTTGTTTCTAATTTTTTGGCAGATTTTTTGGTAAAAAAAAAATCAGCTCCACCTCACCATTTAATAATTCTGCAAATGTTTTTTTTCCATTCCGTCAATATTTCTGCCGGATCGCTAATTAAATTTTTGGTAACCTTTTCCCATCTTTTTAACTTCTTGATAGAACGACATAATCATCATCATCATCCAGCCTCTATTTATCACGTCCACTGCTGGACATAGGCCTCCCTTAAACTCCTCCATTCCTCAGGATTTTGTGCTCTTTGTTACCCATTTTTAGTGATACGCCTGATGTCGTCGGCCCAACGTGTAGGTGGTCTTCCTCTACTGCGTTTGTCTGCTCTTGGCCTCCAATTTGTAATTTTGCTCGTCCATCGTGAATCGTGCATTCTCGCTACATGGCCTGCCCAGTTCCATTTTAGTTCCGCTATGCGTTCCACAACATCAGTAATACTCGTCCTTCTTCGAGATCGAGAACGATCACCTCTTTGTTTTTAAACTTCTCTTCTATCTCTTTTAATTTCAACTCATGGTGGTATCTCTTTTTCCTTCTACACAGATCTTTCAACCTTCCTCGAATTATTTTATATTCTGATTTTTTACATTCTCTATTATCTGTTAATATTTGTTCTCTGATCTTCTTCTTTTACTTTGCTATCGCCTAACACTCTTCGTCAAACCAATCTTTGTTTGTACTTAACACACTTAACTATTTTCTCGCTAGGTTCTCCTACGGCAGATTTATTTTGTTCCCAGGCTTAATCTGAATGCCCAAGGTCATTTCGTTACCTTACATTAATTTGGAACTATTTACACGAGAACTTTAAAACCTTGATGGTTCCTTGATTTCATAAAAAGCGCTGAAATAAGTATTATCCCCTATGAAATTATTTATTTTTAGGTCAAAAGCAAAACGTTAGGAGTGTTAGGTTAGGTTAGGTCAGTGTTAAAAAATAATCATAGTATGCTATGACCTTAAAGTTTCCAACCTTACCTCTTTTATGTGACAGTAACAACTTCAATTTTTTAAATGAGAAAGTACAGTTGAATAGCGATAATTCAACAGTGACTGACCAACGTTTGCTATATAAAATTTAAAAATGTATTATATTCGAAAATTTACGGTTTCTGAGTTAAAGAGTGTTAGTTACTAGTTACCTCGGTAACTGTCAACCTTGTTCAAATTTAAATCAAACTAATCCGTTTTTATGAGATCTGAAAAAATAAACTGTAATATTAATTTCAAATAATTTCAATTTTGTCAGTACTTTAAAAGAAATTTGAGAACAGTGGAAGAACATGGAGGAGACCTATATCCAACAGTGGATGCAAGAGGTTGAGGAATGATGATGATGATGATGATTCTCAAGACAGTACAAAAAGATATATTTTGAAAGTTAATTATGACAATTGTTATTTAGAATGTTTGTGGAATTTACTTAATTAAAGGACTACTTATTGAGCCTTAAGATCACGTAATACAGGCTCAGTGATTACTCCCTTGTTAAATGATAATTATTTATCTACTCATAAAATACTTCAGCGTAGAGTTGACTTAGATAAAGCGGCAAAGATATAGACAGATTACTGGGGATGATATGTGCGATCAAGTAATCAAACAGGCGGTTTTCACACAATTGGTACATGACCTCAGTAGATAAACATTAGGGTCGGTATTGCAGACTGGCGCTATGAATCACACAATTCGAATAGCCAACTTCAGCAGTCAAGGAAACCGATCCTTGTGTTAACAGAACAGCAACACAGCGACTATGTAGTAGACAGCGACTAGTTTGCGGCAAGACAGCGTGGCAAACAGAATTAAAATCAAAAGTCTTTAATGATAATAGGTAATTTACATAAGCGAGATAGTTATACAAAAATAAAATTATAAAATAGATGAAAAATATAAGAAAATGAACTTTCTCTTCTTAAAATGATCTACTTGCTAGATAAAACACAGTCGTGGCTATACGAATAGCCTTAGAAAACGGCGCGAGACAATTATATCGCTTCTTGGATGTTAAGGGTTGGCAAGTAGGTACGCAAACAAGCGATTGAGTTGTTTCTGCGAAATGAATAATCTTGTTAACACAATGAATTGGCCACGCTACTGTAATTAGGAATTGGTGCACATGCCCGTTCTGCTGATTGGTTATCCATGGCCCTAGCAAAAAAATTTTAGGAGGAGATAATAGGAAGAAATTGTGGGATCCTTTGAACATACTTTAACTGTGCCAAATAGTGGGATTGTGTCATAGTCATAGTGTAATTAAATAATTGTGATTTACCGCATACCTCATGGATATACCCAGCATTACATTACATACGTTTCACTCCAGAAGAAAAGCAGATCTTTAAGTGTTAGTTTGTCATTGTACAACTCTGTACGATTATAATTACCGGTCAATAACTGGTAAAAAAGTATGTAAATTCTAGGTATTTTGTTAAGCCGATCATGGCAGCCGATCACAGGTTACTGTGATCATTTCACAACGTAAATTATTTACAATTTTTTTTAGTTTTATTGTTTTTATCAGAAAAAAGATTAGTGAGACACTAATGAACAAAGTAGTGAGAACAAAGTATAACAATAATTTAATTACTGAAACGTGTGTCAAATAGATAACGCTTGTGTCAAGCTCGGTTAGTCCAAAGTCCAGTACGTTCGCCGTCTGGAACACAGACACGCAGTTCAATTTTTTTCTGTAGATCTACATACAATCAAATGAGTATGAAACGGGACCAAAAATAATTAACCAGTTACTCCAAAAATTATCTCAGAATACCTTTGTATTGATCAATGTGTATTGCAAAAAGTTAGAAAGCAATCAAAAAGTAAGTTATGTTACTGTAAAAAAGTATATAAATGGGAAAATATTGATCACCCTTTACATTAAAAATAGGTTAAGCTTTTAATTACTCTTTAGTTTATTTATGTTTTAAGAACTCCTATTATAATAAATGGAGTAATTAACAACTAAGACTTTCTTATTATTACTTGCAATGTATCTCATATATCCAATCATTAATTCAGTTGCAATAATTTACAATTAACTAAAGTAAATATTTTTACTTATTTAAAACAAAACAGTCTACCATTTATAAAATCTTTCGAAGAATCAAGTCTATTAAATTATTTAAGAGCCGTATTAAATATTTTTCACATAACTTAAAATTCATCAATTTTGAAATCAAAGTGTTATACGTTTTTGAGATCACTATTTCAAGTGATATACTTTCTCATTTAAAAAAATTGAAGTTATAACATGATGGATAATTCTTTTACAAATCACTCTGCCCGAGAGCTTTGTTGTCCTAAAAATAGTTAAATATGGGATAACACATACTCCAGCGCTCTTTTTAACAAGATTGTTCAATACACTATCCTAATGCTCGTTATATAAGTTGGGTTCAAATCTTCAAAATATGAGTTTTCTGTACAGAACTTTAAAAAAAAACTTCTTAATACGTATTGTTGAAGAGGCAGCAGGCACTTATAAATATTGCAAAGTAACAAAATTAGCATTCCTATGTATTAGTATTTACTAACATCCCAGTAGACGTGACAGTTCCTTCAATAGATGCTTTCATTTGTAGTTTGATATTTGTCTACCTTGAAAAGGTCAATTTTTCAAACTGAAATTTATTTTTCAGAATCCTTATCGTCTCATCAAGCTCTAGATAGTTTAGCCTCTATCACGTCTTGCTCAATAGATACTTTAACGGATTCTAAGGATGTTATAAAACCTTTCGGTTCTACAGATAGTGGTATAGCTCCTGAGACGAATGAAAAGTTATCAGAAGTAGAAGATTTGCGACCAATTACTCCCCCACCTCCCCCTCTTTTTGTGGACGAACCAACGGAAGTTGTAGAACCTGAGAAGGAACCACACGACAAACATCAAGAAAAAGTGGAAGAAAGGTTAGAAGAAGTAGAAGCTCATGTAATCGAGGAAATAGAAAAACCTATAGAATCTATTTCAGAAACTATCACAAATAAAAATGAAAGACTGACAGAACTTAGCATCGAAACTGAAAAAGAAAACTTAGAAGAAATAGACTGGCAATACCAATTACCTTCACCTCCAAAGGCTTTTAGAGATTCAAGTCCGATACGAAATGAAGATACTCTGTCCGAGACACAGTCTGTATCGGTAACTGACTTTAAAGATTCTGTGGTAACTTCTCCAGAACTTTTCGAAAAGCTCAAATCAATTGAGGACACTCAATCCGTTCAATCTGTTAGCACGTTTGTTGGAGAAGAACCTCCGCTAAATACCCTTTCACTGGAAAATTTAGAGAAACGTAAATCTCTAGTATACAATCGAGAATTATCCACGAGTTTAAAAATGAACGAAGAAGATACTTTTTCCCACTCCTTGAATAAATTTGAAAGAACATTCATTGAGGTCCAAAAATCTAGTCAGAAAGAAATGAGAGAACCTAAGTTCGTACCCAAATCAAATACAAATACGTTGCCCAATTTCAAAATATCCACCTACGACAGGCCTAAACAAAAAATTAAAGTTTTTGAAGATGATACCGTAAGAAGTAACACCGAATACATTAACAGGTCTAAAGAGACGGTCATAGAAAGACAGACCTACTCGTCTACTTTAAACAGGTCTTTTGCAGCAACATCAATGGAAAATATATCTGCAAGAAAAACAAGTGTGGAGAGCCAACCAGAAGAAAGAGAATACAATTTCTTTCGTCCTGATAAAGTTAACACCGCTAGAAATTTTGGACCAGTTTCAAGTGTCTTTCGTTCAGAATCATTTTCGAAAGACAACACATGGTCTCCGCCTAAACCTGTTTCTAGATCTAAATCATTTTTAGCCCTTAACTGGCAAGGTAAATATAAAATTGAAAAACAAAATAAAGAAGAAGGAATAGAAAGGAGTAATAGCTTGTACGATGTATCAGGACTACAAAGTTTAGGGGTAAGTTTTGCTTTCAGATAATATACTTGCTGCTGTTTTTTTTAAGTGTTATTTTGTGCACTTGGTTTGGCGCATTTTGCCACGCTATGTTTGATTAATGCTTTATATATAAAATGGTTTACTAAATTATTTAATAACTATATTATATCAAAAATCAATTTCTAAAACTAAATATCTAGTTGAAACATAAAAACTAATCTACAGTGAGTTATTTTCTTCCACGGAACACAATTTGGTTAGTAGTCAATGTTTCTGGTGGTGAAATTATGTCGTCCAGTGATAATTGCAACAAATTCTGCCAGGCCAAGCCAAAATAATATATATATATTCATTCTGAGGACAGATGTTAACTTTATCCAAGTTTGATATTTATCGTCATTGTTTGATAATGATCGTCTGTCGAACTTGATCTGTATAAATTGCTAAAATTTCTACTTAAAAATTAAGCTTAAAACCATATTTTTTTTTTTTGAAAATTTTCGCTTTGATTTTAATTGCACATGGCTAGTATTAAAATATGAGTTCTTCCAGTTTTCGATAAATTACTTCATGTTTTTTTAGTATTTTATTGTTTTGCAGATCGTTGTATGGTTCACAGCCTGATCTCTAAACAAGTTTTAAATTAGCATTTGGGTAAACGTACACAAAACTGTAGTTTCTCTTGCGAGTCTTAAGTCAGTTTTTTAGATCATAAGTCTAAGTTTTTTAAATCAGTTTATTACCAATAAGTAACTGCAAGTAGAAAATGCGTATATATTAACGTAGAGATACAAAACCTAATAAAAATTTTATCTAGTTTCGTGGTAAAAATATCTCGGAACTATTATCAATGGGAACAACTAAAATTCAGAAGAAATTTATTCAAACATCGAACAAGCATGAGCTGCGTTCGTCAAATTGAAAAATCTGTTGACAGCATACATCTATGACTTTAAGAATTAGAATGATCCTGTGTTATGTATTTTCCATACGCCTATACGGTGTGGAAAGCTTGACACTAATTAAGGACCTCCCTAAAAAGAGAGAGGTCTTTGTCTACAGGTGCGTTCTCTGAGTCTCCTAGACAGATAGAGTCCCAAATCAAGCAGTGCTGGAAAGACTGAATATTGAACCTGAAATCATATTTATTTATAAAGAAGGGAAAACTTGAGTCTCTTGGCCACATCTCTAGAGGCGTAAGATGTGACTTCCTACAGCTTATAATGCAAGGAAAGATCGTTGTACAGAGGAGCGTGGTACGTAGAATTCCTTAGCTGCGAAAAAATGGGAATAAGCGAAGAGATCGTGAAAAATAAAATAATGTCGCTCAGATAAACATATTTAATCGAAGAAAAGAAAATATCTGAAAGTAAAACCTCACGGTTTTCACCACAGCAAATGATTTTTTTAATCAAAATTTGGTCTATTTAATAAAGATGGCTTGACCCAACACCTCTTTTCTGTGTATCTGCGTCTGGTCAACTTTTTTTTCAATAACAAACAAATCATGATTCCCTGCATACTTTGAATTTTATTCAGCGCCATTTTAATAAAAACGTGTTGTTGGCAATGTCTCAATCATCACATAACAATCAACGCATGGCAATAGATTTTTCCCTACCACCTAACAATCATTGAGATAGCAGTCGACTGCTACGTGAACTGCCGCTACGGTAATATATGTACTTCAAAATATGTCTAAGACATGCTGATATTAGTGATTCCTTTGTTGTTTGGGCCCTTACTTATTTAGATTTCTGTCACTCGTTACATTTACGCTCAGATATTTGAATGTCATTACTTGTTCTGTCCTTTGGCTGCCTTTATCTTCTTTACACATGTTTATATTAATACAGCATCATAGTTGTTTCTCGCACCCTAGTTTCCATCGTTTGCTATTTCGCTGGTCATCATCCTGAAGATCTCTTTCGGTTCGGGGCTTGTATGATGCCCCCTGCCATATATTTCTTGGGCGTCCTCGTCTTCTTCTCTGCATTGGTCTCTTATCATTTTCTTTGGCTAGCTGTCTCCATTTATAAGGCTTACATGCCCGAACCATCTCAATCTCTCGGTTTTAATCGTGTCAGTTATAATTGGCGTCGCAATACCCATTCTTTTCCATATCTCATTATTTTTCTTATTTTGTCGTGTGTTTTTGTCACTCAATTGTCAATTTAGTTGTTTTTGTCACCTGCTTATCATGTCCAATTCGTTTCCTAAATTGAGTCTCACTTGAGTCCTCTTTATTAATTATAACACTAAGGTACGTTTATGACAACATTCCAAATTTCACACTGGTCAAGCATTAAATTATTTCAATCTGCTTTTCCAACAAGTAGATATTCAGTATTTTCCATATATCGTCAAACTCCAAGCCTAATATTCTTCATCCAAGTTTCTCATCATATATATTTCATTATCCTCATCCTCAGCTAGTATGACCTGGTCGTCAGCAAATTGCAAAGTGAAAAGTTTATTGTTATCTATAGATATACCATGTTATAGCACGGGCGTCTCCTTTAGAGATATTTGCATGTTGAATTTGTTTGCTGTTTGCTCAACTAAAACATGAGTGTTTGTAAGTTATCCTCATATTTTAAGATAATGACTTCGTCGTCGGTATAATATACTATTTTAATCTCCTTGTTCCTCATTCTATATTATTTTCCAGATTGTTCAATCTTATTTATAATTTCATCCATTGTGATAATAAATACTACGGGGCTTAGAATGTCACCCTGCCTTATTCCGGTTATCATTGGTATTACACTGCTCAAATTGTTTGGCACTCTTATGTATGGTAGTTCTCGTTGTTCAGTTCTTCAGTAAGTTTTATAGAAAGTCTTAAGTTGATGGTAATATTCAAGCCAACCTTATACTTTAATCGACACTCGACAATCAACTTTATTGTGGTTTGAAACCAGAACCTCTACACGTTCATTAAACTCTTCTAGGCTTTTGAAATAGAAATCGATTGCTGAAAAAATATTTTGGTTGTCCCACACTAAAGGTCGAAAAGAAAACGACGTTATCCTACTTCTCTCAAATATCCATTAAAGAGAATATGCAATGCAATGTGCAGTGCAATTCCAATTGAAGAGAAAAAACAATTAATATACGACTGATTGTCGTCTCTTCAAATTGGAAAAATATTTTTATATTTTACAAATTTTATTCGTATTCCAAGATTAGAAAATAACTGTACAAAAATTCCCCTAATATTTTAAGCTTATAGAGTTTAAAATGTGAGACAAAACTTTTGAAGGTATGTGTATTTTACTATATAAAAATGGCTACGTAATTAAAATAATGAATATCTTTGGACTAATTGTCTAGTTAACTCTGAAACATTTTATCAGTTTTACTGATAATTGTTATACCTGTGTCCATTGTTTAATGCAGTAGTAAAAAGTATTGTTTGCCATTTACAACGCAAAATAAAAATGAACTTGCGAAAGTTTCAAGGTAAATGTTATCTTTATATTTATATTTACATATAGATATTCAAGTTAAACAACTGAATCTAATAAATAGGATTTTGGATTTGCAATACCTGTATATAATATTACATTATGTTTTGTAATATATTTTACGGTATTTCGTGGATCAATAAGTCCCGGACCTAACTAGTAAAACAACATTTTTTACAAATATTATTCTTCATTTATCAAAATAATCTCCTTTAGTGGCGATACAATCAATCCAACGTTTTTCTAATTGTTTGATGCTAACCTTGTAAAACAATAATTTATCTTTGCCTTCAAAATAGGCTTCAGTTTTGGTGATTACTTCCTCATCGCCTTATCTCTTATCACGGAGCATTTTTTTAGATAAAAAAAGGTGGTAATCGCTATGGGCCAGATCTGGACTACACTGTGGATGCGGAAGCAACTCAAATCAACAATTCGTGCATTTTTACCATCGTTGTCGTCGACTTCTGACGCAATGCATTGTCTTGGTGAAACAACATTTTTTTCTTGAATAAATGAGGCCGTCAAAGTAAATCAAAGAAAATGCGTTCAAAGAAATTATGGAGAAGTATCCAAATCACCACATAATATACACAGATGCATCAAAAACTGAAAATGGTCATGCTGCAGCTTTCACAAATAAAAATTACAAATATGCCATTAGAATTCCACAGTACTGCAGCATTGACACCGGGGAAACCACAGCGATATTAGAAGCTATCAAAAACTCTTCTTCAACGACTGAAAATAATATTTTAATAATCACAGATTCACTTAGCGCAATTCATGGAATTAATCAACTTTACCCTAGCCATTCTATTGCACAAAATATAGGAAACGAAATTAATGCACTACACCATATAAATAAAAAGGTTACATTTATCTGGATACCTTCACACATTGGCATTAAAGGCAACGAGGAAGTTGATAAATTGTCAGTAAAATCCATCAAAAATGAAAATGTTCCAGAAATTACTAAATATCCCCACACCGACCATAAACGACAGTCCATGAATCATATAATAAATTTATGGCAAGCAACCTGGGATGTAACAGACTCTAAGTTGAAAACAATAAAGCCTCGAGTAGACGCCAGCCTACAACAACAAGGAAAAAGAAGAGATCAAGTAATCGTAAATCGTCTTCGAATCGGCCACACAATACTAACACACCAACACCTTCTAAATAAAGAACCAGCATCTAAACCTGCAAATAAAGCATCTGATAGTCGACTGTCCGCAGTTCCAACCTCAGAGAACATGCCGAGGAATTAGTGGAAACCTGAGAAGTGCGCTTACGACAAATATCTCGGATTTATTGCAGTTTCTAAAAGACATAAACATTTATAATAAACTTCAATTTATCAAACTGTACTACTGTGTATGTCCCCCCACTAATAACCCTTGGTGGTTGATGTTGGTTTTGTATGTTTAAATAAAAAAAAAATGAGGCCTTCTCATTACGGCTTCGTTCTTAAAACGCACTAATACAGTGGTCGCTGTTGATTGTTTCTCCATATTTCAAATAGCTAATGAAAATAATTCGTTGCGGGTCCCAAAATACCGAGGCCATAACTTTTCCAGCTGTTTATTGCGTCTTTGGTCGCTTTGTACGGCTTTCTCTAAGTGCTGTCCAATCAGATGACTTCCAATTTGATTCCGAAGTAAAGTGATGGATCCATGTTTGATCCATTATGACATACCGACTTAAAAACTCCGACTAGATGCTTCTTTTTTGTTTAGAGTGCCGTTTTCCTACTATCACTCATAATTGGTATTATGATTAGACATATCCAAACGGCACCTAGATCCATTAATTCGTTATTGTTTGTATTCTTTTTTCTCTGGTGTGAGAAAATGAGGCACCCATTTGGAAAACAGGTTTCGTGTATAATAGTTAAATTGCTACCCTTTATTTTACAGTGTCAGTTATCTCTTCCAACTTCACTTTCCGGTTTTTCAAATTAATTTTTATCATTTTTTCGATGTTTTCGGAAATAACTGCATCATTTGGCATTCCGCAGCGCTCAGCATCATTGGTCTTGGTACGACCGCGTTTGAATTTAGCCAATCATCGTTTAATAGTTGTAATTAATGAAGCAAAGTCCCGGTAACACTGTTTGAGCCGTTGCGTAGTTTTGATGGTATATGATTATCAGTGAGAAATCAACATACGAGATTGCTTTGAATGCATTGTTTATAAAAATCACAAACGTAGCCACACTTCAAACACTGTAACTGGATAAATAATAATCCGAATGGCATGAACATTTTAACAGTATGCTTAAAGGTTAGGACTATAGAAACGACAAATTGAAAATTCATTACAGTCGCCATCTCATGCTTAGTTCCCGGACTTATTGACCGACGTTAGGTCAAAAAATGAACGTAAAATACGGCGATACCCTGTAATTTTTCATGTTACCACCGAATTACATAAAAATCTAGGTTTTACTTACCCACCACTTCAGTTTTGGCCGTTGGTTGCTTTTAATTTTTTAGTGGTGACAGAAGCAATTGAATGGCTATGTAAATTGGACATTAATATTTAGTGTCATTCATTCTATTCATTCTATTTTTACGATTTTTAGTGTTTGAATGATATATATAATATATATGTGTATATTATTGTAATTGTATTTGTATATTTATCGTACTGTAAAAGTCCATACGCTAAATAAAAAATAGTGGTGACAACTAGCCATGTCATAAAAAAATCGTATAATTGTAAATTAAAGCAGATAATTGAATCAAATCATCGTTTAATGAAGTTAATAAATGTCAATTAACATTAAACATTATAATTTAAGATTTTATAACATTTTAAATCCTACATCTGACCTCCTAAATTAGTTATAATTAAAACAATGTCATTGAATACCTTGTATCCACTGATTTTCATGGAAATTTGGATTAAGGTTATACTCACCCTCCACCAATTTCAAAATTGGACTTGTGCCGTTGGTTTCTTTTTATTTTTTAGGATACAAATGTCCCCAATTACAAAAAAATCATATAATTGTAAATACAATTTGGAAATATTTAGTTATACAGTGACAGTTAATTTAGATTTCTATACTGTTTTAATTTTTTACCACATAATTTCGACCCTTATAAAATCCACTCCTTTTAAAAAAATTCAAATAGTTGTAGTCACTTTTTTATTGAAACTATAAATACAGTAATTTTTTCTTGAAAATGTTATGAATTTAGTTTATTTCAACTTAAAAAACAACCTTTATTAGTTTGTAAGGATTGGTGAAAGTTTGTCTGTGCTTATACCACATCGTGTTATTAAGGGTTAAGTATATAACTAGGTTAGCTTTTAAGCTAAGATTTTGTATATCACTAATACTTTTTAAGCTATTGTGAAAAAAGCCATTTTTTTTAATTTTAAAAATTCTTCGAAAAAGTGTGCCTACACCTCGTCTTCTAGCCCAATCAAGATAGATGTCCAAGGTTAAAAAAGGTTATTGTAGGTCAAAGGTTCCAAATATGGATTTTTCGTGTTTTTCAACCAAACTATAACTTTTATCACAAAAATATATCAGGCACAAAAATTGTAGATCCCATCTAGATTACCATCTAGTGTATTTAAATTTATATCAGCAGTGTCTGCAACGTATAGAATAATCCCTCCACGTTCTGATCGAAAAGTGGAACGACAAAAAAAATCCATATAAGACGTTTTGACACAAATAAAAAAGAACTGGAAGACCCATATAATTTAAATTTAAAAGCCCTCGGCCCACAGCAATCTCGAAACAGTAACTCTAAGAAGAAAAAGTATTGACACAATTTTTATAAACATTGCATGATCTTAAGTTGTTTCCTTATTTTGATCAGAAATTTTGCACAAATTGATAATTCTTGCGGCATCTTCAAACTTTCTCATAATCGATAAAGTTCTTATTTCCTTTTTTTATAACTTCACATCGCTAAATGTAAAAATTATTTTTAAAAACCCCTTTTTTAATACAACAGTATACACGAATATAGCATAATTATTAAATAATAATAATGTATTAAGATTTCTTTATTAATTTTTACACTAAATGAAACAAATTTGTAATTTTTTATTTATTTTTTAGGTAATGAGGCTTATTCAGAATAAACTAAATACCCCAACAACATCACTTGAAAATATTAACGCACCGGATCAGTCAAAAACCAAAATCGATCCTCCAAGAGAAACGCCAATCACAAAATTATCTCCCGTAGAAACGATCCAGAAACCTCTGTCAACCGAAAGAATTTATAAATATCGGGGACCACCTTCTATCAATATGGGTACATGGTCTGACCGTCCAAAGGTTCCAGTTAGTGTGAAAGAGGACGAAGACTATACTCTTGGGAACAACGTATCTACTAAACTAATAGTTAATACCACTAATAACAATGTTACTAGTAATAACCGAATAGAAATAAAAACTAACAACAAAGAAGTACAATCCTCAAACGAACCAAGTATAAGCATTAAAGTAAACGGTTCTGAAGTGCCCACTACGACAACTGATACCAAAACTGGCAACGTTGTAATTAAAATAGGCCCTAGTTCTAATTCACAACCTAAAATAATAGATAATCAAACATTTATTAATCACACAACTGCTGTAGGTTATAGAAAACCCTTTAACGATATTAATAAAAACCAAAGGCCGTACTCTATAGCCTTCAGTTCCGAATACGACATGTCCAGAGTGCCAGTAGTTAGATCTGTAGAACTTAAAAAACCTTTTAAAGAATTCGGTAACACTAGTGTAACTCAAATATCTCAAGAAACTGCAGCAGATAATAAACCACAAAATGGTTTCTTAGAAGAGAGGAAAGCCGCCCTTAGAATAAATAGTTTCATACCCAACGGTACACCAGTTGTCAGAGGTTTCAAAAGCTTACCTAAAGAAAAAGAATCATTCCAACCAAACTCACAAGTGCCTTTTTCACAAGTCACTCTTCGACGAACGGAATCCAGTAAAATCTTAAACGAACCGAAAGAGCCTGAGGTAAAACCGCCTCCTCCGCCAATGATGCCCAAAGTTAACCTTAAGAAGCCCACTATTAAACACATTGAGCCTAGTTTGGATCCCAGAGATCAATTACTATCTCAAATACGTAATTTTGGAGGCAAAAAAGGACTGAAGTCTGTCAAAGTTTAATTAGTTTTTTTATGTTATTTAGAAAGTTGGGTAACATCTTGCCGATTTTCTTACATTTTTATCAAAATAAGAATACCATTTATTTCCTGTATTGTATTTTATTTATTTTATTTACTATTATCTGTACATTTTAAAGAGACAGTATTTGTTATTCATTGGGAACAAGATAAAATAATTGTTAAATAAAGGAAAGTAAAAAATATTACATACTATCTTTAAAGGAAATTAATCACAATTGAAAATACTTTTATTTTGACATTTCGATTTGCATTTTGAAAATGTTTCTCAAAAATTCTGAAGTTGAAATCGAAACGTAAAAATAAACCTATTTTAACTAAAATTGTGCTTAATTCCCATTAAAGATAATAAATAACATTAAAATGCCACAAGAAAAGAGACCATGCCACAAATCCATATTAAGTAAAAGATTGGCATCCCCACCTCCCACCACTATTTTTTGTCTATAATATTTAATAATTATATTTTTTTCATCGATAATCAAGTAATATTATTTTTATATAAGTCGTTACTTCTATACTTATTTACATTAGTTTGTTGTACGGTATGGCATTTATATATATATATATATATATATATATATATATATATATATATATATATATATATATATAGCGCTACAGGCCTTGTAGGCCCATAGCTTCTAAAAACTTGGTTATTTCCCTCCATTTTTTCGGTCTTTTGCTTTCTCCAATTTCACGCCTATTTCTAACAAGTCTTACTTCACTGCTTCCAACCAATTCTCTTTCGTACTTCCTCTTCTTTTTTCCCATTTCTTCCTTCTTCAGTATTGTGTTAACATTTCGATTCTCTGGCATTCGTATAATGTGACCAAGCCATCCAGCTCTTTGGGCTCGTATTTTTGCCCTAATTGCTGCCTGCTGGTTTTCGATACATGCATCCTCATTATTTCTTTATTTCTGTCAAATATAGTGTATTATATAAAGATCGTACATGTTTGATTTATTTCTTCTCATATATTGCTTCTTACTGGAAGTATATTTTATGTATTTAAGTGAATGCAAATCTCTTATACAAGAATATTAAAAAATTTTCATTAAGTTACAAAATTAAAATTGTTTGATATAAGTAGATTGAAAATATATCAAATCTTGAATTAAGCTGTCGTAAGCAGTATCCGAGGAAATAGGTATATAATTATATTGTAGTATTTTCCATTACTTTCATGGAAACATACAAAATCTAAATTATCTTTTTAATTCTAAGGCAAACTTGGCGAGGTGTTACACCCGTTATATTATTATGTGTATAAAGTTATTGTGAATATGTATTCTGAATAAAGTAGTCATGTGTATTATCATTTTAAAAGCTCAATATTTTAAACGTAAGCTTGTATATTAATACAATTTTGTAAAGAAATATCTTTTTACCACTTAGTAGATATATACTTAATAAAGGTAACATTTTTTTTGTTTGTCTATATATGTGCAACATTTTCTTGCTCTAACTATCTATTTTGCGAGACATAGAACTTATAGGGACCAAAGGTTTTGTGGAATATTTTTATTTATTTGTTACATACTCAATACTGTATTGTTTTAAAATTAATAAATTATTTAATTACTATTCATTTGTGGGTTTTTTACAATCCTAAGACAGAAATATCAAAAGGCAAAATGCAGTCCTGAAAATATGTAGAGGAGATACTAACAGTTAAATATTATGTTTATATATGATTAAAACAGAAGTAATCATAATGAAAATTTCATTTTTAAATCACGTTTGACGTTTCGATTTCCACTTCGGGTGGTGTTTTTACTCTGGGAATATCAAATTCTGCCTGTTTTCTGTGTTTTTTGGTAATATTTGTTTGTGTGATGTGTGTTTACGTAGAATATATGTTTGTGTATTGTGTGTTGCATATGTATTGTGAATAATTGTAGATAATGTCTGTAGCTTCTTGTAATCCGCTTATGGTTGTTATATGCCCCTCAGATTTTTTTTCAACCAAAAGCAGGCTAGCCTACAAGATCGAAGCCAAGTAAGTCAACCATCAACTTTCAAAAAAAAACATAACCTATTAACAACTTGTGGGTTATACATTTTCACAGAATTTTTTTATAATCCTTTTTTGAAAACGATTTCCTGGGTGCAAATCGAAACGTCAAATATTAGTTAAAAATGTAATTTTCATTACGATTAAATGTGGCTTAATCATAATTAACATAATATTTAACTTAGTCATGTCACAAGAAGACTTTTAAGTTTAAGAACTTTTTTATGCAACTGTTATGGTAATAAATACCTTGATATGAATTCCATAAAGTAAATAATTTCATTAATGGGCATAAAATTAAATCAAATGATTAAATACAAAGTATTCAATAATATTATGCACCAATATGTTCCCTGATAATATAATATTTTGGAATAGATGATGTCACCTGAGAAGTGTGGATAGCTTTATAGCAAACAGAAACAAGTATTACAAGTACAAGGATATTTATGTAGAACTGTAGAAGTGTGTTCCTGTATGTGAAACTTTGAAGGAATCTACCAATTTTTTAAATGAAGTGAATACTTACTCAATTAATACTTACCAACATATAAAGCCATAGCGTTTTTAAATGTCAAAAACTCGTCCTCAAACCAAGGCTCGCTCAAAACGCGAATAACTGACGACCTCACGATTGCTACATTTCATGATCATTACTAGCTGCCGAAGAAAGATTTGAGGAAATAAAATTGGAGTTATCAAAGATAAAATCAGATATTGTAAGTGTCAGTGGGTATTAAGTAATGAAAAAGGGAAAAAATCTAATCACAATCCAATCAGGCACATCCGTGTCAATTTCGTTATACACAAAAAATGGCCAATAACATCTTGGCGACAAATCTTAACCAAAGCGACCTACTTAAATATGCATTTTAAAGGTAATACAGTTTCACGCGTCCACTCCGCAACGCAATGACGAGAAAGTAAAGACATTTTACAAGGAAATGATATCCACAACAACCCTTGTCACTTCTTAATAATATGTCGACATTTCAGCACAAATATACAAAGTATGTCTCGACGGGCTTACACTATCAATCTATCGGAAACTACTTACACGATATTTATGAAAATTGGTCTATAGGGATTTCAAGTAATGACAAACTTAAAGAAAATATTTTGACTGGCAAGTCACTTCCGTTTATACCGGAAGTAAACAACAACTTCATTATTATTTTAAATAGAACACCCTATATTTTCTGACATTTTTAGATTCTGTGTAATAGTTTAGATAGAATGTGTATAAGGTATTATGGGCCAAAGTTTCATTTATGTAAGTTATTCATCTTTTTTCAAAAAATTTGACAGAGACAAACTTTTCAACGTTAATATCTCGTCCATTTACAATAATAATGTCGTATAAACCTTTGCACACAAAGAGTAGATAATATTCTTTTAGGAATTTATATCGATTGTGGTTTACTACTAAAGATAAGATATGACAAAAATAACACAAGCACTGATAAATACCGGCAGTCTAGGCACCAAAGAATATTGGGAAGAAATTATAACAAAAGTAATTGACGCAACAAGAAATATCGTAGGCAAAAATAGAATCAAACAAAAAGAGAATAGTTCGATGACGAGTGTAAAAAGGTCATACAAAAAAGAAATAAAGAACACAAGAAATATATGGATAGAGAAAGAAGAGCAAGCTACGAAGATGCAAGACGGAGGGCCGATAGAATATGTCGATCAGAGAAAAGAAAACACGAAAACGGTAATATACAGAAAATGAAAATAAATCTCCAAATCAACGATATAAGGGAAGTGTATAAATATCTACGCAATTTAATTAAGAGAAGGATACAAACCCCGAACAAATCTATGCAGAATTCAAGTAGGCCAGATAACCAGTGATCCAAAAGAAATGCAGTCTGGAAAACCTATTTCCAAACTCTCCTAGGGATGCAAGAAAATGATGAGCAAAGACACAGAAAATATAGAACACCAGACGATGGAAGAGGTAAAACAAGCAATACGAGAACAGAAGAATAACAAGTCTTTAGGTATTGACAACGTCCCCTCTAAGCTATTTAAATTAGGTTTCGAACACCTAGTAAGACAAATCTTCTTCTTCTTCTTCTTCTTTGGGTGCCGTGTCCATATTCAGACGTTGGCCGTCATCATGTTTACAATTTCCTGAAACCTTTCTCTGTCGGCTGCTGCGCGAAATAATTCTACTGTGGAACCACACCATTGTCTAATATTACGCAGCCATGAAAGTTTCTTTCGACCAATCCATCTCTTTCCTTCCACTTTTCCTTGTATTATAAGGCGAAGTAAATGGTATTTAGGTCCTCTAATTATATGGCCGAAGTATTCTGTTTTTCTCCTCTTTATGGTGTTTATGAGCAGACGTTCTGAATTGATCATTTGAAGAACATCTTCATTGGAAGTGTACGAAACCCACGATATCTTTAGGATTCGTCTATAACACCACAATTCGAATACTTCTAACTTGTTTAGCATTGTGGTTTTTAACGTCCATGTCTCACAACCATACAATAGGATCGACCACACATAACATTTCAGGACCTTCTTACGAATATTAATATATTAATATTAATAGTAAGACAAATGCATATGCTTATTAACAAAATTTAGAATAATGAAAAGATCCCTAGCAACTGGAAAACCGGGATTATATGCCCAATGTAGAAAAAAGGGGATAAACTGAAATACGAAAATTATCGCAGCATAACCCTCTTATGCACAGCGTACAAAGTTTTTACTTGTATACTAAATAAACGACTCCAACAACTAACTGAAAGATTGTCGGGGAACATCAAACCGGTTTCCGACAAGGAAGATCTACAACTCGTCAGATATTCGCAGTAAAACAAATTCTAAACAAATCGTGGGAATACGACATTGACGTCCACAACATATTTATAGATTTCAATCGGGCCTACGACTAAATTAATAGATAAAAGTTATATCAAATAGCTTTAACATCCCCAAAAGTACATTTGAGTAGTAAAAGAAACAATTCGTCAACAGCTACTGTCAGAGTACAAAATGAGCTCATTGAGAAATTTTCAATAGTCAAAGGATTAAAACACAGAGACGGGATGGCACCCACAACATTCAACCTGACTCGTGAATATGTAATAAGACAGCTGAATATAGGAAGAGGTAATCTCCTAACAAATAAATCAATACAGATTGCCGCCTATTCCGATGATATTAGCAATATGTCTCGCAGAACAGTAGAGGCAGCAGAAATATATTTACAATTCAAAACAGGGCCAGAAGAGACTGGACTAGAAATAAATATTCAAAAGATGAAAAAACTAACACAGACAAGAGCTAAGAGAAGCAGAGGAACACTTGAATTAGAGGACGATATTGAAACTGTAGAAAGTTTCACATATCTGGGAGTTACATTAAACACGGATGGAACAGAAGAACCAAAAATTCAAAGAAGAATAGTAAAGGAAAACAAAGCTTACTTTTAACTCGCCCATGCGTTCCGCTCCAAAACATACACTGGAGATCGAAAATTGGGGTCTACAAGACCATTATTAAACCAATAGTATGTTATGGATGCGAGACATGGGTGCGGATAGAAGACACAAAATTAAAGCTGAATGTCTTCGAACAAAAAGTCCTAAGGAAGATATTTGGACCTATTAACGAAAACGGGGTATGGAGATCCAGTTCAGTTAAGTATATCCGAAAGTGACATGTCTATCAAAATATTTTTTTTTAATTTGTTATAACTTGAAACCCCCAAAAACAAATTTTCAGAAATATCATGTAAATAATTTCCATTAGTGTAAGCTCGTCGTGACACACCCTGTATAAATCAAGTAAGATACATCCGAAACAACACTAATCAATTTTGGAACTGAAGGAAGAACCGATAAAGGCAAACACCTATTAAACTATAACTACATTAAATGAAGCAATAGTCAAGATAAAAGTCAGTAAGAAGATAAAAAGTTACAAACATCCTTCCATATTTAGAGCAGATTATGTGTTACGTGGTAAGTCGAAACCCCGAAGCTTTTTTGTAATGCACGGAATTTTATTATTTTGCTGTGTGGCCTATTTTTGAGTCCACTCGAAGGTGAGGTTGAACATATTTTCCACAGCTATCTTTATCAGTTTTTGTTGGTGGTCGTTTTGAACGAAGTCGACTGTTATTGACATTCTAAATGTCTTGAGGGTTTGGCAGATTTATATGGTTTATGATCTTTTTGTACTTATTTGTAAAGTACTTTGGTCGTCTAGTTGAGAAGGTGGTAGGTGACTTACAATAGGTAGCTAATGTGTGGGTGTTGGTTTAATTACACCAGCAAGCATTCTTATAGTTTTATTTAGTTGAGTATTATATACGTGAAGGCTATTTAGCCAGGCTTAAGTTTGAATGATGTTTTTCTTATTTTTAATTTTAAGTTTTTGTTAGATGTTCTCTAAAGGATAGAATTTTATCAAGAGTCACGTCCAGATATTTTGGTAGTTTATTGTGGGTGAGTCTAGTATTTTCATATTGTATGTTCATCTCTCGTCTCGGAGGTTTAATATTTAGGTGAAAGCAAGAGACCTCGGTTTTATTTGCAGT